AATTGATAAAGTTGTGTTGAAAAATGCTCCAAAAAATTCCCAATACATTGGTCCCGAGTATCCAAAAAGAAATTTTACACATAATGGAGAATAGAGTAAGAAGGATGATTCGTGAAAAAGTTGGGGATGGATACTTTTGTATTCTTGTTGATGAAGCACAAGATGTATCTAAGAGAGAACAAATTGCTATTATTTTTGAGGTTTGTGAATGGTCAGGGTATTGTGAATAGATAATACTTCCTTTTGGGTAGGAAAGAAACCACATACAAACCAAATAATAATATTCTTCACACTCCAATAGCTAACACACAACAAATATATATATAGGCTCCTAATAACTAATTGTAGCTTAGTGGCTACTAACCACCCACTTAGTGGCTATTAACGACTCACACACTTTTGGAGCATGTTCCCATGTTGACATGATGAGGTGTCTTTGCTGGTCATTATGCGTCTATCAAAACACCATCCAAACCCATCCCAACCACTAGATCTGGTTTGTCGCTACAATCGTCATTAATTTCACCACCGCAACTCTCGGTGATTCACGAAAGGTTGGATCTTCGCCGTGTCATCTTCTCTTTGTTACAGTAGCACCGACAACGGTGCTCCGGGTGGTGGTCCTGAAGGAGAAAATTTCAAATCGAGCTGTTGTGCTTCTGCCTGAGTGAGCCGGTGAACGACCGTCACCATGAGCACGACAGTGGATTGTTGATGTGGGTGGTGGTCCGACAGTGGACGGTGGTCTTCGATGACGAGCGTTCCTCAACGTCGATGGCAGTTAACGAATAGGGTAGCGAGAGAGAGGGAAGAGAATGGAAAGAAGGAAAATGATTTTTAGCCTATTTAGGGTTTGTAGATATATATTTTTAATTATTAATTTCATACCTGAATTTTGATTAAATAATCTTTGCACCTGACTTTTGCAGAAGGACGTTTAAATACTTGTATTTGTGTAATTTCCACAATAAACAAATTGTGGGTCTTACCCGACTTGAATTAAGATATATGTCACCCAATTTTGAATGGGAGTACATTCAAGTCATTTGTCTTCAATTTGGTACGATCAAGTCATCCAACTTTAATTTGCTCATAGATCTAAGAGCTGTCAATTCAACTGACGAAATATCCTACCTGAATATTAAAAACAATGTAAAACTGACATGTAAAAATATTTGAAGAAGTGTGATGTGGATATATACAATAGTCATAAATTAGTTGCTTTCCATATTTGAATATTACATTAGTTAAATTGATGGAAAAATTAATAGAATAACTAAAATTTCTAGTATATCCAAAGTTGAGTGACTTGATTTGCTCCAAATTGAAAATGATGTTAAAGAAGATAATTTTTTATATCCTTATTCTTAAACAAATAAACAATCAAATATGTATAAAAAGCAAATGTCAATTTCTTCATCCCATCCTTTTTTAAAGAAAAATAAGTTGATATATATCGAAAAAGAGGACATACATATACACGCACGCATTATATAGTATATAGTCGCTTTCTTGATGAGACGCCTTTCTAATAATAAATACAAATAAAATTGGGAACGACATTTCCCAATTTAGGTCTAAAATTAAAATTTATGTTACACATTTGAAGTTACCGTCGTGCCAAGTAATAGATGAATACCACCTAGCTCAGGACAAATAAATATTTTTGGAGTGAACAAATTATAAATATATTTATAGGTTGTCATTTCTAGAATTATATTTTAGTTGAATTGGAATATTGATGAAAAAAGGAAGAGAAATTTAAATGTAAAGTTTTTAAAATAATTTTTCGTAAATAATGACTTTTTCTTTATAGAACACCTACTAGTAATGTTTTATTCTTAAATAGCACTTAAGTTTCGTTTAATTTTTCACTAATTTAACTTTCAAGTTGTTTAACACTTAAATCCTTATAGACAAAAGTAGCATACAAAATACGTTAAAATTAAAAATCTTACGTGCCATTTTTCCCAGTTAAAAAAAATTTTAAAGGGAAAAAAAAAAAAAAAAAAACATCTTTCTCATCCCAACCCCCACACCAGCAACACGCCAAATGATTTATATGACAATGAATGTAAATATCAGATATATGGATTTTTACTCATGAGTTTTTATATGTATGTATTGTTGGAAAAATGAGTGAACTGGCTCACTTTGATAAAATTTTCGGTGGGACTCGTTGGTCCAATTTGGAAGATCAAAGTTAATCATTGTTCTCCTCCGTGATGGCATCGAAACCATATATTTATTTGTCAAAATTGATTAATGGATGAATGAGAAATTGGAGCTCAAAGATGACCATTGGAAGATGGTTTATGTTGGAAAATGAGTCTAGTTCCACATAGGAAAATGAAGAAAGTATTAACCACTTTATATAGGATTGCACATTGGAATGATGTAATTATGTGTAGCATAGAGGCTCTCTCCACGTGTGTGCGCCGGGAGGGTGCAAATCACTGACCGAAATTGCCTTCGGATCTTGAACTTGTGTGCGGGCGCGACCTGCGTACACGAATGTCGAACCGAACGGAGAAAAAATTGGCCCATTTGGAGTGTCCACGTTTTGCAATTTTTTGCTTTCTTCAACTGACCTTTGAGTTTCCCTGAAACTGTCAAAACTCCCATAAACTGAAACAACTCCATTGTTTATTGTTATGGAATTAATAGGCATATTTAAACTTATGTAAATAGCCATTTTCCAGCAATTCCAGTACATACAAAAATCACATGAAAATAGAAGAAAAACATTTTGCATATTTTCTTCCTGTCTACATCTCGATTTCTGTTCAGTATAATTTTGTGGTGATATTATTCGAACACAAACTCAATTCGCCGGAGTAGTTTCTGTGGTACTCAGATTCTGCTGGTTTTGCCGTTGTATCTTGAGAAATAGACGCTCGGGCTAGACCTCAAGCACTTACGATGAGGGAGCGAATATTTTTTAAAGAAACTATGTTTACACAGGCCTCGGGTTAAAAGTTTATTTCCAAATTTATATGCTTCCAGTTTAAATATGTATGCTTTAATTATTTGCAGAATTATAAGTCTTCCAGATTTAATTTAACATGCTTTCAGATTTTATTTAGCTTTCTGAAATTTATACTGCTTTTATGTTTTTGCAAATTATATAATTTACCATTCTTATTCAAGTAGTTTAATTTGTTTTAATCAGATAATATTTTGTATATACGAACCGGGATATGAAATCGTGTTTGTGAAAATTCAAGTTCTGTGTTATTTAAATTATTTTATGAAAATAAACAGTTTGTCCAAAATCTGTGTTGTTTAAGTTATCATAAAGTGTGAAAATTCTGTTGTTACGTCATTGTCATATACGGTGAGCTAACTAGCATATACGGCAAACTGACAAATACGGTGAGTTGCACTGCCATATACGGTAAGTGTGAATTCGGTGTCTAAAATACAAATACGATATATGAGAACCCGATTCCACTCCATACACTACCGATTAAATTTACCAACATGTATGACAAAAGAGAAAGAAGAAAAACTGTAAACAAAAAAAAGAAGGTAACATATACACGTACAGAATTTTATCGCAACTTGTTAAATTGAAAAATATTCGTCAATTTTTAAATATAATATGTGAACACTGTTAAGAGGTCAACACTATCATTCTAGCTTATGATCATTAAAGAAAAGATATTATTTCAATTTTCAAACCTAATTTTAAACTAGATTTAAGAAAGAATTACCACCTAAGAGTATGCATCCTCAAGTCCCTCTTCAATGAGACAAATAAACAATGCATTTCGAATTTGTATATTGTGATATTATGAAGTCGTAATGTCATTGCAATTTAAATATTCTTGGAATTAAAAATTTGGAAATTATGTCGTTTTTGTAATATATTTCGTTTTAACTTTAAATAATTGTGTTTGTTATTTTTTTATTTTTTTGTATTCTTATTTTGATTAATTCATTAATTATTAAATTTTACATTTAAAAAATTTATTCTAAAGGAACAACAACAACAACAATAATTTATTGCATTATCACTTTGCATCATTTTGCTATGGTGCAACATTATTCACTTGGTACCATTTTGTATCAAAACGGTGCAAAGTTTGGTGTTGCATTGGAGTAATTTTGCAGCATTTTTGGTGCAATTTGATGTTTTGGTGTCTCTATTGGAGATGGCCTTAACATCCACATAGGAATGCTATTTGTGTTTAACAGGCACATCTTCAAATATTGTTAGTAAATTAGATGGAACGACCTTCTGTGAAACCAAACTAAAGCGTAATGAATTGAGCCACAAGAAATAAAGTACAACAACAATTGACAATTGGGTCAAAGTTACAGTGACCACAGATGTAATTACCTCATGTGTTAATGTACATGCTTGATGACTTAGGGGAATTGGGAGCTTATGGAAAGATTTGATTTTTAACGGTAGAGATATCTTGGAAGTAGGAATCGGCTTCTTGATCTTGCTTTGTATTTCAATTGATATTTTTAGTGTTGTATATGGACAGATTTATTGGTGACTTATGGACACATAGTCTAATACATAGATGTCCGTAGGGGAGGGCAGGCTGGGCTATCTCCATAAGTCTAATACATAGATGTCCGTCGGGGAGGGCAGGCTTGGGCTATAGCCCAGCCCTTCCTCAGCCCATATGCAATGGAAATGTAAATAAAAAAAGCTAATTCAACCCAACTGCAAGGTAGAATTGAAAAGAAAAATAGTCCAGTCCAGCCAAGCCAACTACAGTCCGAGCCCATCCATTGTCCAATTACCCAAACTTATTAAAGATACTAAAAATTTACATATTCGTTTCATGCATATTCATGCCCTACAAACTTCTTGTCAATTTAGGTACTTTAGTTCATGTATGTTTGACTAAATTTAAATAGTTCACTTATAATTAAATAAGTAAATTTTATAATGATATTTTTATTAATTAAAGTGAAAAATAAATGATTCATTTCAATTTATTTTTGTTGAAATTTCAACTAGTTAATGATCATGTAATAAGATTTTAAACTACGTACAATATAAAATACAAATGTAGAATACTGAGAAGAACCGATAATTATTTTTCAGATAAACATCCTTCTGCTCGGGATGCTCGCCAATGATGCATCGAGGCAGCGTGTCTCTCCTCGCCTCGCGGGTATCTAATAGGAAGATAGTCTCATATGCAGTGATGTTGTTGACCATCTCTAATGGAAAATGTCGATCACAGTCTTCTTATGATGACACCATACCACGCTCTCAAGGATGTAGACTAGTCCTAGCTTCTGTCTGTTCAACATCTTATCACACCCCTTGATTGCTCTGATCAGCTGCGATAGAAGCATCATTCCTTGTCCCTAGAAATAAGCATCGTGCAATCTGTTGCTTCTCTGAGTACCTTCACGAGTTGTTTCATCGCTCGCAATCTTTAGTCCGATCAATAGAGCAAACTCTAACAAGGACCGACATAATAATACATCAATGATCTGCCCAAAGTAATGCACCTTCCTTATCTGATACAGGGGCCAGAGGAAGAAGTGTCAAAGAATATCTGCGTGCTGATCATCCAGTAGTTCTAATATGATAGTGAAACTGTCAAAGCTGCTATTCCAAGTAGCTTTCCCCGCATCTGCCTCAACAACGCTTCTAGATGGTAATCTATCCTGCAAAAATTCAAATGGTAACACATTGTACATGGGATAATGAAATAAAGAATAATAACAGAAAATTAGGTGAACTGAATTGTAACTACTATACACAACACATAGATTCATTTTACATCAATACTAATAAAAAAACTAAATAAATTAGAGGTAAATTGTTTTTTTTTTTTTTTAAAAAGTCACTATGAAGTTTTTAATTGAAATTGAAATAATTAAAAATAAAAATAAATATTATTTAATTAATATTAAAAAAGTACGTTTTATCCAAAACAAAAATTTCACTTTTTTTAAGGCGTTCAAAGGCCAATGTGAAAAAATGGCCGGGTCAACCGACCATTTCCACTTATTTCCTTTTATTTCCTCCATAATAAAAAGGAAATAAATAGACATGAGAAGAAAATCTCAGAACCCTAACTCTGACCCTTAATTTTGTAACACCCCTAATCTGGATACAAGAAGGAAATTCCAATCTCTAATTTCCAAATTAGAGCTGGAGTCCACAATTCATTAAAGTGTAGCATGTAAATCCCCAATCTATTTGTTTCACAGTTTTGTCCTTTATCTTTCATTTTTATGGTAACGATCCCCATTAAAAGTCAACCAGGAGCTTAGGTTTCATAAATCTTCTTTATAAGTACGACTACACTCCTGTTGATGTAGATTAAAATCAATTTTTAGTAATTTTTTAATAAACTAATAAGGTGAATGTGCGTTGCACGTTAGTTGATTAGTTAATGTTAGAAATAAGTGTGTGTAAATTTTCAAGAAATTCATTTGTAAATGTGAAAGACATTTTGAAACTGGTTTGAAAAAAAAGAACATCTTGTTTATAAACAATGAAGTATTGAGATAAGAACTAATGATATCAACGAACAAACACGTTATTACCACATATTAAGAAGCAATACATTAAATTCAATAAAAAAAATATGGCCTATACAAAGTTTGTTGTTGTTTACCTACTTGGCATATTTTTCGAAGTTCTCATTTCTAACCACCCTAATTTATTCCATGGCTATGGCACAAAGCAGATAGATAGACTTGTCGATAACATTCATCAAAATAGCTTTTAAGTAAGGCATAACAGCATGTCTGCATCACAGTATTTTCAGAGGTGCTTTTATAAATGCAGTTTAACAGACTCGTTATACAAGCAAAGAAATATAAAAATAACACTTAATAATTACAGAATAGTGTACTTGGAGTGAATTGGCAATTGAAGCTAAAGCACTGAGGGTTCCCTCTTGCACCATTTGTTTGGAGTTCTGAAATTTATGTAACAAAACAGTTTATTGGAGAAACATGGTTGTGTGTTCAACACATTGGTATAAACTTCCATGTATATTTGTACAAAAATATTTTATTTTCTTTCTCAATTGTACCTATAGAAGTAGAAGCAATTTGCGTACCATTCTAAGTAAGGTGTTAAAGTTTCTAGTGTATAATTTTCAGTCTGGAACTCACCCAACCTCCCATGTCAAAACAAGATCACATGCGCACAAGAATATAATTTTATATTTATAACGTATCAAGGGTAAGCACTTCATAAGAGCATTTGTTCCAATCGCATCTTGTAGAATCATCTCAGAAGGCTGTATAAAACATTGAAACAATTACCAAAAGCATTCATATGACCTCAACAATTCACCCCACCTTCATGTGCATTCATATGACCTCAACAATGGTAAACTCAATGAGATGCAAAAAGCATAAAATCAACTTTTAGACACCATTAAAAATGGAGAAGAAAAACGAAAAAACAGAGAGAAAGAGAACGCAATAGAAGAGCAGCACAACCGGTAGAAGGAAAAGGGTACAAAATGATAGTGTTAGTTACTAAAGAGAAAAAGGGAAAGAATTAGCTTGTTAACATTTTCAAAAGAAAGAGAGCTACTATTCAATTACTATTCTTGCCTACTTAAAAATAAGACGACAAATGACAATAAGAACATCGATCAAGTGGGTTATGCAGCAAATAAGAAGTAATTTTACAAATAATAATATTATATATAAGTTAAACAAACTTTCACAACTATATCATCAATGTGCACATGGCAAATGGGAAAACGTCTCCCAACTATCTCACATCGAGAAAATGTTCTCATCACCTGAAAATTATGACAAGCCATGCTGTGGCAAAAGAATTAATGTTTAAAAGTTAAATGGTAAATTCTAGGAATATAAAAGGACTGCAACTTGTAGTTATTTTCCTACATCGAAGCAAAAGCCCAATAATGTTAATGGTTTCTAAAAGCCTTTCTAATTTCTCCTTACAAGTTTGAATCTCCACAGTGCCTTAAAAGTGTTATTGTTTCCTAACACGTTGTACCGATCATGAAAACTGTGCAAGAGTTGAGTGATAATTTGCACATCCCTCACCTTGAGGAGAAAATCAAGAACAGCTAACTTATTTTTAGGGACGGATTTAGGATTGGATCCAAGACCGGGCTACAAAATTTCAAACCGGGCTACTAAGTGAAAAAAAAATTTTACACATAAAAAACTGATTTTTTACCAAATAAAAATAAAAAATACCTTAAAAAAAAGGCTCTTGGGCCTGAGTGTTGGGGGGGGGGGGCTGCAGCCCAGCCCAGCCCCCCTAAATCCGTCTCTGCTTATTTTGATAGAAAAAAATTATATATAGTAGCTTTATAATTTGGGGAGTCGGGAAATCAATTTTCCTGCTAGACATTAATTACTACTTATGAACACAAATTATTAAATAATTTTTTAACATTGAAGTATTACAAATAACAGACGATCCAAATCCCAAAATAACATGAAGAAATGCAAAAGACTAACCTCTTTCAGTTCTGCTGAGGTTAAAATATCAAAATCTATTGGCGTTCGTGATGTGATCCAGGCTTGGCACGAAATCTTCAATTATTTGGTGATGGATGGAGGTCGGTTAACGTCCAGACTTAAGCTCATTGGAGGCTGCCTTTTGGGCTGAAAGAAAGAGGAAACTGAAGCAATTCATACCCACATAAACGGTTAATTTGGAGCTACTCTTGGCTGAATTTAATATATATATATATATATATGATGCTACCAAAAAATAGTACCTGAAAGATCTCGAACTCGGTGATTGAACTCCGAACTTTGATGAACACGAACGACCTTCGAATACCTGCAACAAAGGCAACGAGGTGTGTGCTCGTCGCCCATCCGATGCTTAAGTCAGATAGGAAATTTAGCGCGTGAGGCTATAAACAGAAAATAATAAAAAACGTACCTCAAGAATGAGCTCAGGTTGTATATTTATAGGTATTAATGATAGAGTCCTAGAAGAACTTATCCTTTTGTGGTCCTTATCCTCGTAGGATAAAGACTTAGTGTTTCATTCCAAGAGTTCAAACATTGTTGGAGTCGAAGAAGGAGTCAAACAGGGTAAGGATTGTGGCTTAAGTATAAGTGCACTCATAGGTCGTTAAGAAGTGCGTGGCGAGTTAACATACAAATCCCGACCTCAAAGGCCCGACCTTGATTTGGTAGTTTTGGGTGATGTCAAGGTCGGGATCAAGGGATTGAGTTCGGGATTACAAGATCTGGGGTCATCACAGGCCCCCGTGCATCAAGGTCATAGATTTTCGTCCAAGCATGATCTACGAGTAAAGATGTAAAGGCATAGATGTCCAGACGTCTTTCCACGTGTCAGGCGTTCAACTAGATGTTAGAGAACAACCTCAGATGGTTGCCACGTGCAATGTCAAGTCACGATCTTGGATGGACGCCACGTGTCTTCGTTCAAAGGCCTGGATTAATAGACCATTGACCTACCAAAGACCCTTATAAATAGTCACCACATTTCACTTTCACTTTTCACTTTTCACTCTCCAGTGAAAGAAAGCTCGAGCTCGGGGATAGTGGATTGGTAAGCGATCATCCAAAAAAGGTAAGAGTTCGGGCCTTTAAGTTTTAATTATTTGATTCAGTATTATGTCGAGTAGTAGTAGCAATAATACAGGGTCGAGTAAGAGTGATAGTAGCTGTCCATCCAGAGCCTCGAACTATAGTGATAAACCCGAGGACGTTAGGTACATCTCTGATCCCCATGGCCATTCCTGTTAGTTCTCATACTGACGACTTGGTCTACCCTAAAGAACCGACCAAATATAAGGAATATGTGATTATTAAGATAGCGAGAGAGTACGGGGTTATGCCCATTTGTGATGTGAGACCCCTAGGGTCTACTAAGACCGTGTTAGGACCTCGAGAGGGAGAGATGAACTTTTCTAGAGACGCTCTTAAGGCTGGGCTTAGGTGGCCCCTTCACCCATTCTTCATCCATTTCTTGACCTCGTACTATTTATGCCCTGGCCAACTAGCCCCGAACGGTTGGAGGTTGTTGGTATACTTCTTTATATTATGTAGGTGTCTCGAGATCGAGCCTAGACATGATCTCTTACGAATGCTCTCTGATATGAAATTCTTCCTGGGGTATAATTGTTTCGTTCACTTATCAACCAAGGGGGGTTTAGAACACCTGAAACACTGAGCTCTCTTCGAGGTTGGAAGGAAAGATTCTTTTTTGTGAGGCCTCAGGACCCCGACCATCCTTTTAGCCCGAAGTGAAAATTTCCTAATAAGGATAGGTTTAAAGAAGGTCAGGACTATTTCGAGGTTTTAGAGAGTGATAGGCTAAGGTTAGTGAATCACGATCCTTTAGCAGAGAAGATCGACTATTTACTCGAGGATGACACCCTCGACCTTGCCAACGTGAAAGGCCTTGAGGGTAAGCTTTTTCTCTTCACCTTTTTTTTTTTGTGTAATGCTGCGATTTCTTGCCTAAGCATCGATCTATAGTTCGAGCTAATGTCTTTGTTATTGCTGTTTGCAGAACTTGAAATGTCTTTCGATCCATCTGCACTCTTGGATAATGTACATCAAAAATCCCAACAAATGCCCTGTCCAAATGGAAAAAACGGGCACGAGAGACTGCTCGACAACATGGGGTAGAGCTCAAAAAGCCCGACCCCTCCAAGCAAGCCCATGTCTCAGCAGCCAACCCGGGCTCTACTCCCTGTTATGGGTCAAACCTCCTTGCCGATGACAACGACCCAATGCCCACTAAGTCACTCGAGGAGTATGGTAAGTGTGATCTTATCCAGGGCATTGTCAACAAGTATGAGAAGGAGGTCGACTTTAATGAGGAAGTTCGGACCCTCGAGCTCCTTACCTGAAGGTTTGCTTTTATTATGGTTGCTTCTACTGTTGTTGATAAGTTTTTGTCCTCGACCTGACTTCAGTTATAATACTCGTTTTTATAGACACTAAGTGTAGCTCGAGGTTTGGGGCTCAGGGGCTTGAATTCCTTGACACAGATAGCCGAGCTCGAGGCCAAGAGTGAGATGGCTTGCAATAGGGCCCATGAGCTCGAAAGGGCCCTAGAGATGGCCAACGCGGACTTGAAGAAGGCCAAGGACGAGGTCGGGGTGGCAAGGAAAGAGGCCGAGGAGGCTAAGCTTGAGCTCCTCCAATCCTGGAGTGTTTTTGAGGAGCTGATGAAAGCTTGAGCAAAGGCTAGAACTCAGGCGATCGAGGAGTTCAAGCAGTCTAATGAGTTCAGGACTCTTCTGGGCTAGTACGAGTCTGGCTCGTATTACGACGGGCTTCGACTAGCTCGTTCATTCCTCCGGACCAAGCTCTCTGAGGACTTGAAGCCCATGGTCGAGGAGCTGAAAACTGTGAACGAGCTTGTCAAGGATCTCGAGCTTTCTTCCTCAGAGGCTGATGGGGATGATGACGACAATGATGCTGGGACCCCTGGCCATGGAGGCAAGAGTGACCCCATCGATCTAGATTAGGCTCTCTCTCGACCCTGTGATAGAAATTTTTGTAACTTTTTTCTTTTTGCTGATGTACTTTGCCCGTCCTTGGCTGATGAATTTGATTTTTTGCAATGTATATTGCCCGAACTGGGCTTTTCATCATCAGTTCATGCATTTTATTTCTTGCTATGAGATCGTGTGCGGATTTTGTGTTCGTGTGTAAACACCATGATTTTGAATTTGGGCTATTACAATTGTTAAGAGTTCAATCGTTAATATAGATCGCGTGTCGCAACCAATTAGCTCGAATGTTGACGTCCATAGCCCGAGTGTATGTAAGAGTTTGCATATCTTAACAATACTGATCGTTGACACTATGGATAGATCGATCATTTTACTTTAAAATTCGGTGTCAACTTCTAAGTTTGAGAGTGTTTTGTTATGTTTAGGGTCAACTAGTTCGTGTACTAGTGTTGGGTATTGATTATTTAATTTGTTTATATCAACGGACGACCAATGGGTTGCTGATGAATTAAAGGAAAGGTCGGACTTGTTCCTTGTAATTTAAGCATCGTTCCTTTAAGGAAAAGGTCGGGCCTGGTTACATGATGTGCAGTTATATCATGCCCCGATCTCGATCTCATAATTCTTTCTTGGGTGAGCATTTTGGGATCGATAAGGCCGGGGCCTTTATGCCTGACCTGTTGCCACTTGAGGTCATATGTTTGGTTCTATTGATCGAGCGTTAGCTGCATGCGCAGAGCATGTTCTTACGCTAATTTTGTAAAGGTATTAGCTACATGCGCGGGGCACGGCCTTATGCTAATTTTGTAAAGGTATTAGCCGCATGAATGGGGCATGGCCTTATGCTGATTTTGTAAAGATATTAGTCGCATGCGTAGAGCACGGCCTTACGCTAATGTTGTAAAGGTATTAGCTGCATGCGCGAAGCACGATCTTACACTAATTTTGTAAAGATATTAGCTGCATGCGCGGAGCACAACTTTACGCTAATTTTGTAAAGATATTAGCTGCATGCGTGGAGCACGACCTTACACTAATTTTGTAAAGGTATTAGTTGCATGCGCGGAGCACGGCCTTACGCTAATTTTGTAAAGATATTAGCTGCATGCGCAGAGAGTAATATCATAAAGAAAATTTCGTGTATTATTAGAAGGGCTCAAGGGCGTTGATACCCGAGCTTATTCGAACATGAGCTGTGAGGGCATTAGAGCCCGAAAAGTAAAAACGAAATTAAACAAACATAAAGTGGGCATGCAAGCCTTAAAAGGGAAAAATTATACCTACAGCTAGTTACTTGTAATAAATTTTCAGATTATCGACTTGGGAGCGGCTTTCCGGATGTCTCTGAAGCTATAGGCTCCACCTTTAAATTTTAGTATGACCTCGAAGGGTCCTTCCCATGTCGGTTCGAGCTTTTCTGGTTGGTGTCCGACATTTTTTGCTTTTCTAAGGACAAGATCGCCATTTCTGAAACTTCTCGTCTGGACCTTGCTGTTGAAGTGCTTCATCGTTCTGTTTTGATAACTTGCAGCTCTAAGTGAGGCTTGCTTCCTTACCTCTTCAAGAAAGTCAAGGTGCTCAGTAGTTTGTCTCTCCCTATTCATCTCGAGCTTTCTTATTGTGGGGAGGCTATCCTCGATTAGGATGGTAGGCTCAAGTCCAAAAGCAAGCATGAAGGGCATTTCACCAGTTGCTGTTTTGTGCGAAATCCTGTATGCCCATAGTATTGAAGGGAGTTCATCAGGCTAGTCACCTTTGGCATCCCTTATCCTTGTTCGAAGGTCCTGCAATATGATCTAATTAGTTACTTCGGCGAGCCCATTACTTTATGGGTGTGATATCGAGATCAAGTGATGATCAATCTCATTGTTAGCAATCTCATTGTTAGCACAGAAGCTCCTGAACTGCGGATTGTCGAATTGCCATCCGTTGTCTGTGATGAGGACTTTCGGTATCCCAAACTTGCATATGACGGCCTTTCATATGAATGACCTGACCTTCGGCTCCGAAATTGTTGTTAGTGGTTCGACTTCTACCCACTTTGTCAAATACTCCACTGCCCCAGCTACAAATTTCCTCGGGCCAAGGTGAATGGCCCAAGAATATCAACTCCCCACTGTTCGAAAGGAGCTAAGTAGTGAATGGATGTTAGTTCCTCAGCAGGAGCATGTATGACGTGGCCAAACTTTTGGCACTTGTCACACTTCCGAGCGTAATTTGTGGTGATTTCTACAAATGCCTTCATGAACTTAAGTAGAATTGTGGTTTAAGTAGAATTAGTGCACTCATAGATCGTTAAGAAGTGCGTGGCAAGTTCACATACAACCCCGACTTCAAAGGCCCGACCTTGATTTGGTAGTTTTGGGTGATGTCAAGGTCGGGGTCAAGGGGTCGATTTCGGGATT